GGCTAAAACTTAATCTATATGTCTTAGCAAGCCTACCAGTTCTCAAGAATGTAAGACGATTATTCTCTTTCCCTTGTAAGTATGAAAGCAAGACAGAGTCTTTGGGTTTCACTCTGCTAGTAATTCCTGTGAAAGAACACACACTAAGTTTCCAAAAAGAGCTTGGATTCCAGTGTCCTAGGCAGTTTTGCTTCAGGTGCAGGCTATGCACCAAGCTACTGCTGAGTTACAGTGACTGTGGTGGATTCATCATCAGTGTGTTTCTAGAAATGGTAGTCATCAATGAGCTTTGAGATACTGTGATTTTAAAGGACACTAGAGAAAATCAAAGTCTCTGATATTCTTCAGGTACGAACATTAAAGCTATCAGCAATTGGCTTAGGAGAAAGGGACATCTAGTGGCTGTACAAAAAAATCCCTTCTCAATGCATTTTAAAATGTACAGCATAGTCATTTGTGTTTGGCCTTCAGTCTTCTGTACATCTTTTTAGCTCTGCTACATCATGTGTTTGCTGGGGGTCATTTTTTATGGTTTTGGCAAAAAAAAAATCACCTTTGCAAACCATAACTTTCTAGTTTATGTAGGTCTGTGTATGGTAACCTTGGCAAATAGAAAGCTACCTCAGGCCATGCTCGATGTACCTCACTGCAGCACTTCCACATTTTCTATAGCATCTTCCAGGAGTCCACTGCCTGCTGTTTCCTTCTGCCATTGCCTTCCTCTTTGGTACTGTACTTGGAGGGGTTGTCATTGTTATTGTCATGGTAAAACCTACTTTCTTTTGAATGCCCATAGCATAAAAGTCAGCAGGAGGGGTGGATGAGATTCAGGGAAACACTAATCTAAGCATTCAGTCATGTATTACACAACAAAAGTTTTTTCCTTTCCCATCCACGTTGTGCTCCTTCTTACTAGTTGAGGATGAATTCCATGCATGTTTCTGTGAATAGCCTGACAGTTTAATCGGTACATTTGCATACGGGCAAATGAAGCTTTTTTCAAAGTTGCACAGTAATATGTTTCACCTTTATGCCATGCCAGCTTCAAATTGTATCCCAGGAGGATTTCAAATGTGCATAATCTGTGCAGTTGTCTGGGCTTTTTTTCTTTTCTTTTTTTTTTTTCTGCCTTTTTTTTTTTTTAACTGCAAATGCCTATTCATTGCCCATCTGGGTAAGAATGGCCTTTGCATTTTCACACCCATTCTTTCCTATATGGTTTGTGAATACCCCTCCAATCAGAACTAGCTTCACAGAAAGGGGACAAAACCATTTTACAGGAGTTTCTCAGAACAAGTCCATTGGGATCTCTACATCATGTTTACTGGACAAAAAAAAAAAGGGGGGGATACTTAACAAAGACCACTTGAATTTCGCAGAAAGGTTCCCACTGTCTCGAGTTTAAAAGAGTGGCAGGCCTGAGAAGAGCCCGAGACAGCAGTCTTTTTCCTGAGCCAGGCATTCTGTGCGGTGACGAGTAGGTGAGTGCGCATGTGTATAGCTGGGTCTTGTGAAGAGCTGACACGCTTTCTGGCTTGTCCAAGGCTCTAGTAGCCTTTGTCAGAATGTGGCATTTACTTAGAATCAAACCTGCATTGGCAAGTCCACGTTTTATGGGAAGCATCAGCTTTGGACTTTCGGCTTTCAACCACAAAAATCTGTACCCAGTTTCCTGCAGAGGGAGAGGATCTGAATGGGACAGCAGGTTTTGCTACAGACCAGTCTCTGGAATTTGTTAAAACTGCTCTTCATACTGCTGTGGTTTGTGCAGTAGTGTCTCTGACACTATTGCAAATTATTTGATTGCCTGTACTTTGGATAGATATAGTTTACAGTGTTGAATGTCAAGGAATATGGCCTAGAATAATCATCCTCAAAATCTCTATTACCTTTTTTTTCCATTTGTTGTGTTTCTCTTCCACCACCCTTCTTGTTTTATCCTTAAGGAGTAAATTTCAGTTGTTTCTCAGGTGAAGAAGTGGTATTTGTTCCAATTTCACTTGAAGAAGTAAAGGAGGAAAGGATTTTTTTTTCTGAAGAAGTAAAGGAGGAAAGGATTTTTTTTTCTAAGGGCAAACTCTGTTTTTACTAACAGGAACAACAAAAAGCATTCCATGCCATTTATGAAGTGACTCAGTTTTCAGATCAGGTCCTACACCACAAGGTGCACCCTAAATCAGCTCCTATAGGAGAGAGGAGAGATATTCACATCACTCTCAACAATGCAAACAAACCTCTTTTCTGTTAAGCCCAGCTACCTGATTTCATCAAGCCATCTAACAACAGAATACTCTATGGCTACACAACTCTTGATTCCCACAGCCAGGACCTGAGAAGGGCTGTTGAAACTTATAGATGAACCTTACCCTTCCTCCTTTCTGTACATAATTTGTGGGTAAGTGACAGAGTTTACTTTCCCAAGAAGTCATCCAGTCTCATGATGCATATTACACCTTTCTGGAAAGGACTTGTCCTGAGGATGCATTTTTCAGAGTTCCACTCACAAAATTATTTTATCTGCCAAGGGGCATAAGGGAAAAAGTAGATTACTTTGCACCTGTTCAAATCAAGAGACCTGTCTGTAGCCTCTCTGATATGTGTAGAATATTCTACACTGTGAATGTATGTGGAAAGCAGGATTTTTTTGGTTATTGAGTTGGACTGCTGCATATTTCTTATTATCAAATACCTCATTTGACAAAGCAGAACACAAAGTCATGTTTCTGTGAAAAGACAGTCCTAGGATCAAATCAAGTTGTCATTGATACTACTCAAGACAGAGATAAATGGGTAGCTATACAATCATTTGCTGTGGCCTACAGTAGGTCTTGAAAAGATGTGTCATCTATTTATCATTAGTTTTCCACCTTCTGTTGCTTCACCAGAACAAAGCTTTTGCCAAGGATTCCGACTTTTTATGTAAATACATTTTGGATTCTTGTGTGATCTGATTGTTGGGAAGGGAAGCATCCTGAACTGCCCTGTAGGCATTTGGAGAATTACTCTGTCTGGAAGGAGGAGGAAATACATCTCTTCTGTACATTATTTTGTGTAATAATAGTTGCAATGTATTTGAATGCCTAAGATGTTTTTCCAGTCCTATGGTCAGTCTCATCAGAGGAAGAAAGTCTGGTTTCCTGGCTAAGCTTATGAACAAGACAGATGTATTTCACAACCTCCATCATACTGTTAGTAGTTTCCTCCTTGTTTCTGCTCTGTGAGCATCCCTGCAGCGTGCTAATCACACATGGCAATTAGTACCCTTCTGGTACTGGTTGGTTTACATCTGTTAACATCAGACTTCTTCAGACAGCCAGGCCCCATCATGATTTCCAGTTCCTGACCTTTGTGCTTCCCTTTTATCATTAGCTACTTCAGAGAATTAAAACAACCACCTGTGTCCAAGATGGTTTCTCTTTGAACCACCAGAATAGAGAGTGCTTGAGATGGCAGAAGTGAATAAATGTGAAGGAAAAGGCAGAACAGGGAAGATGTCACATTTTCCTGCAAATTGCAGTGAATAGTGTTCTAGTGCCCGTGTATGAGATGTAAAGCACTTCTTAGGGTGGACTAGAGAGATGTTACTGGGCTAAAAGACGCTGCTTTCAATGCTATCAATGCTATTTATTTGCTCTGTATATTTCTGTTAGACAGTGACAATAAGCTAGTTTAATTTACTCATGCTTACTTATCAAATTTTCCTTTTGGATCCGTACACATTGACAAGTAATTGTGGCAAGAGGGGTTGTAGCTTTAGGTAGGAATATTCAAGTTAAGATGTCTGTAATACTAGTGGAGATTTAGCATTACTTTTCTCTGCACGCTTTTCTAGGAACCAAGGTGATGTATGTGCTACAAATGCGAAGAGAAGAAAATTATTAATACTATTCTATTTGTTTACCATTCCAAAGGCAGTTGGTTCTTCAGAGTTAAAAGGTGAAACAACAGTTTCTGCCCATCAAAATCTGAATAGAACTAAAAATGGTAAAGAACAGGAAAGGAAATAGAAAAGCATTAAAAGGAAGCAAGATGAAAATAGGGAACAGTGGATAGAGAGATTAAGAAGTTACTTTTCAGTCACTTGTAAAAGTTAAATTTGAAGATTATATTGGCTCTGTACCCAATTTGGTTAGATGCTTTTCTAAACTGTTCTCTATTTAGATTATCCAGCCAAACTAAGACAAAATCTTCCTTGGAGTAAATGTCTGTAATTTTCCAGTTTCTGTCAAGTAAATAACAGCAGGAGAACATTTGTTTTTATATGATGGCATTCTGCTGCAAGTCAGAACTTGGGATATGCTAAAAATTAAGGGGACAGCTCATGTTAACTTTTTGCTTTGGGTTCTTTCAGAGGACTGTTTGTCACTATTGGGTAGCGAATGTTCTAAACCAGAACCCAGACAAAACTGTGCGTGGGATTTTAGGAACATTTACAGCCTAAATCTTGAACCAGATTTGGATTTTACAAAGTAACTGCCAGTTTTTTTCACTGTACTGTGAAACATAGGATCCACATTCCTTAAAATACCAATCTAGATAGAAATCATATTTTCATATATACTCTTTGCATTAACAACTTGGGGCCATTAAAGTAAGATTCTGATCTCTTCTGGCATGGATCCACATCCAAACAGTTTAAAATCCAGCTTTAATCCATGTGCTCAGTGTTTATAATTGGCTGGCTCTAAGCTTTTTAAAGCCAGAAAAACCGATAGGCCCAGTAATACGATTGGAATCTAGGCCCAGCTACACCTGTCTTCACTTGCTTTTGCCCAAAAATTCAGGACTTGAGCATCTGCAAATGAGTAGCAAAATTTACTCTTGGCCTTACAAAAATGGTGTCTTCTTACCAATGCCCTTGTATGCGATTTTTTACAGTGCAGTCACTTTTGTTTACCCAGTGGGCAGTCACCTTTGCCAGTGCTCTGACTGTGGCCCTGCAGAGGACAAGACTCAATCTGTTCTTTTTTTTTTTCTTTTTGTCTCCTGCTTTGCTCCAGGTAACATCAGTTGCAAGGGGATGACAGAGCGCATTCATAGCATCAACCTTCACAACTTCAGCAATTCTGTGCTCGAGACCCTCAACGAGCAGCGCAACCGTGGCCACTTCTGTGACGTGACGGTCCGCATCCACGGGAGCATGCTGCGCGCCCACCGTTGTGTGCTGGCGGCTGGCAGCCCCTTTTTCCAGGACAAATTGCTGCTGGGCTACAGTGACATCGAGATCCCCTCAGTGGTGTCAGTCCAGTCTGTGCAAAAGCTCATTGACTTCATGTACAGCGGGGTGCTGCGGGTCTCACAGTCAGAGGCCCTCCAAATCCTCACAGCTGCCAGCATCCTGCAGATCAAGACTGTGATCGATGAGTGCACAAGGATTGTCTCGCAAAATGTGGGAGAGGTCTACCCAGTGATTCAGGATTCTGGCCAGGAGACACCCAGAGGAACACCCGAATCAGGCACCTCGGGGCAGAGCACCGACACAGAGTCTGGCTACCTGCAGAGCCATTCACAGCACAGTGTGGACAGGATCTATTCGGCCCTCTATGCCTGTTCCATGCAAAATGGCAGTGGGGAGCGCTCCTTTTACAGCGGAGCTGTGGTCAGCCACCATGAAACAGCCCTGGGGCTCCCCAGGGACCATCACATAGAAGATCCCAGCTGGATTACCCGGATCCATGAACGGTCGCAACAGATGGAGCGGTACCTCTCCACCACTCCAGAGACCACACACTGCCGCAAGCAACCGCGCCCTGTCCGAATTCAAACCCTGATGGGCAACATCCATATTAAGCAGGAGATGGAGGATGACTATGACTACTATGGCCAACAGAGGGTGCAGATCCTTGAGCGCAATGAGTCTGAGGAATGCACTGAGGACACTGACCAAGCAGAAGGCACTGAGAGTGAGCCCAAAGGGGAGAGTTTTGACTCAGGCGTCAGTTCCTCCATTGGCACTGAGCCTGATTCCATGGAGCAGCAGTTTATGGCTGCTCTGGGCCGGGATGGGCAGCAAGAACCTTCTCAAGCAGATCAAAATGACGTCCCTGCTGATGGCACTCAGCCGCAGCAGCAGCAGCAACATGTAGATGCCAACTCTTCCTCACCAGAGAGAAGCAATGACGTTGAAATGGACAGCAAAGTGCTCACAGTCAATAACAGCACCGAAAAGGGGGCTTTGCAGCCTTCTGTCAACACAACTGTTGCCCAACCATTGCCAACCACACAGATCTACTTACGCCAGACAGAAACCCTCACCAGCAATCTGAGGATGCCACTGACTCTGACCAGCAACACTCAGGTCATTGGTACAGCTGGCAACACCTACCTGCCTGCCCTTTTCACCACGCAGTCTGCTGGCAGTGGCCCTAAACCTTTTCTCTTCAGCCTGCCCCAGCCTTTAGCTGGCCAACAGACACAGTTTGTGACAGTGTCCCAGCCTGGCCTGTCAACCTTTACTGCCCAGCTGCCAGCCCCACAGCCCTTGGCCCCGTCTGCGGGCCACAGCACAGCGGGTGGGCAAGGCGAAAAAAAGCCTTACGAGTGCACTCTCTGTAACAAGACTTTCACCGCCAAACAGAACTATGTCAAGCACATGTTTGTACACACAGGTAAGAGTACTTCCCTTTGGCTTATATTTGAAGCCAGAGAAAGTCCTTTACAACCATGGACTTAGAGCCTGTTTGCCAACATGCCAGCCCCGAACACAAACAGAAGAGAGGGGTTATCCAGGATGTCACTGAACACTCCCCAAGCTTACTGCACTGAAGTTGAACCTCTGCAGAAACGTACAGGTCTCATGCAGGGGTCTAACTGTGCATGGTACAGAAACAAGCTCATTTTAGTTGGAGTAAAATGTGCCCTGCATCTGTCCAAGGAAGTGATAAGCGTTTGTTGTATCCTGCAAGGTGACCAGGCAACCTTAAGTGGAAGTGGCATGAGGAACTGTAATAAGTCATAAGAAAAACTGTATCTACTAAGAAAGGGCATACCCCTGTAGGTTTTAAAGCTACAGGGGTTTAAGCTCAAGTGGTGATAATTGGCATGAGGTTAGGGCAAAGTCATTACTGATGGAGCTGCAGCAGTAGGTCCAGACCTGGATGTTACGCACATTGCCACATATTTTCTTGATCTCACATATTCCTATAAGAAAGTAAATTGGGAGTTTTGTAAGGAAGGAGGGAAAGAGGGCTTTCTGTACTGCATTGAAGCTGATTGCTGTAATCCCTTCTCTCTTGGTAAGTCAGATAATTCACTAGCTGTGAGTACAGAAACATAGGTTTCAATGAGAAAATTTTGAAAGAATATATGTAAAACGCAACAGAACACAACATCAGCGCTTTTTTGTTTAAAAATGCAGCTGCTTTAGTATATGGTTTATGGGCTATTGAGACAATATAGGTAACCATATTTTCTACTGAACCAAAACTGCCTTTTCTAGCTTTCTCAAGTTATGAGACTTCAAAGCAAGGAGATACATATATCTTACATGGAGGAACTGTCATGAGTTCAGGACTAAATTTTGCTTGCTTTAGCCCTCAGCTCTTTATGACATTGGAGAGAAATTCTAGTTTAGAGAAAGAGTAAATATTTCTTTCACCAAGCAGTGGTTTTGTTAACATCAGATCTTAAAATAAATGCTGGGTTTGTGATACATGGAGTAGAAACCTGGAAAAGTTACCCAAAGTATGGGAGGAATGTAGGTCATGCCTCTCAGTTGTATGCAATAGACTTCAATTCCATGTGAGTATGTAAACGTTTAACTTCAATTTACCTATATTTATCACTTAAATGAAAAACTCCTCTAGACATCTAAGGCAGACATGTACGTATACAAAAAGATCAACATTTCAGGACTGGTACAAAATGTATAATTGCAAGGATCAAGAGTCCTGAATCCCAAGATTACCCTTTGTATCTGTTTATGTTCTTCATCTTTCTGTTGTGGACACATAGCTAAAATATTACATACATAGTGTTGTTTTATTCAGAAAAATATCTCCTTCAGAACACATTCAAATATATCTCCTTGCATCCTTGTTCTAAAAGCTAGAAAGGCATTTTCACAAATAATTTCACTGAGATTGGGTGCTTTATTTCTCCTACCACCAAGCTGTGCGCTGCACTTTTTATTTGGAGTCAGATAAAGAGTAGTACTGGAAGATCTGACCTTAAAGCATTCCTAGCTATTACACATAATGCCAACCAAGAAAACTGGTAGGCATCTCTAATCATTAATTAATGTTATATTTGTATGGGTCTGAGAATGCCCAGAATAATAAACTCTGGTGGCAAGGAAAGAATCAGGGAGATAAACTGTTTCAAAATTCATTTAGGAACAAACTGGCTCCTGGAATGTCTGGGAGAATAATTGCACCTCAACCAACAGAAGGCTGGGTTTCAGAAAACCCTTTTGAAAATAATCTTTGTATGTGCAGCCTCAGCGATAGGATGTCTGCTACCTTGTCTAGTGCTGGACAGGATCATTACAAAAATGGAGAGCAGACAGCTGTTCCCACTGTCAGGGTTATTTTCCCTATCCCTGGTCAAAGAAGCCAGGCAAAGTGGCTCTGGAAAAGATCCACAGAAAAAGGGAAAGATTTAGGACATGTAAATGTTTGAATTAGTCTTTCTGTTTGGAAGGCTCACAAGAGAAGTCATGGAGGAGTCTAATCATAAACCAGAATTCAACGATCTAAACGTCTTCAAATCTCTGTATGTTCTTATGCTCCGAAAACTACAGTCTGGTGTAGCTTTCCATGCAACAGAAACCAACTTCCTTTTCTTCTTTCACGTGGATGCAAACATACTAGAGATGAGTATTTTTCCATGTTCCCTACGAACTGCCCTTAATGTATCCTGCAATGTTGTTCTCCAAGACACGCAGTGTTGTGGAAATGCAGTGCTAGAATGGATGCAATGTCTGTGAAGGCCCCAACACTGCTGCCTCCATACCACCGTAATCTGGGGCACCCATGGTGATGGGATGAGGGGAAGTCATATGAGGAGCAGCTGAGGTCATTTGGCTTATTCAGCCTAAAGAGGGGACTGAGAGGAGACATTGTGGTCTGCAGCTTCCTCACGAGGGGAAGTGCAAGAGCAGGAACTGTTCTCTTCCCTCTGGTGACCAGTGATAGGACATGAGAGAATGGCATGAAGCTGTCTCAGGGTAGATTTAGGTTAAATATTAGTAACAGGTTCTGCACCCACAGGGTGATTGGGCACTGGAACAGGTTCCTCAGCAAAGTAGTCATGGCACCAGCCTGACAGAATTTGAGAGGTGCTTGGACAATGCTCTTGGGCACATGGTGTGACTGTTGGGGTGCTCCTGTGCGGGCCCAGGAGGTGAACTTTGATGATCCTTGTGGATCCCTTCCAACTCAGAATATTCTAGGATTCTGTGGCCTCAGTGTCAGACCAAGCATCCATTATGGTTAGGGTTCAAAGAGCCACAGAGGCTACATCTCCAGGAACGCTGGAGCTGGAAAAGGCATGCCGAAAGGACCATGGCCAGGCACTGACATTGCTTTTTCTGCTTCCAACTCAGGATATGCTGTGATTCTATGTTTCTAAGTGCCCCACATTGCTGTCTAATACCAACCAAATACAAAATAAAGAAGCAAAAGGAGGAACATGCACATTTAACTCACTGAGCAAAGTTTTCTCTGACTTCAAGATGAAGAATCATGGGAATAAAGAATCTGCAGTGCTCACTGAGGAAGCACATATATTTACATACAAAAAACCCCACCAACAACTAAAAAGTTTTGAGATTCTTAGGAGAGGAAAACTCCCAGGAAGGCTTTGAAACTGAGGTTAAAAAGCCAGAACTCAGTGTCTCTTAGGAACATATGCAGGAAAAAATTAAGGTGTTTTTATAGCATAGTCCTAACAGGGTCTAGAGTGGAGGAGACCAACTTATTACAAACTCTGGGACATATATTTCCCCAGGCAAAAATGAGCACTGTAAATATAATCAGTCTCTTTTAAGTTAATCAGATGTTATTCTAACTGACAGACTATCCTTTTCCACATAACGTGTCAAGCAAATTGGTCTGTCTGCACTCATTTCACTACTGTGTTCAGCAAAGCCATCAGGAAAGTAAGGACTCAGTGTTTTGACCAAGTGTCTTTCACCAAATAGGGACAAACTCATGAGTGCAAGGAAGAGCAGCAAGTGGATTTCATTCATGGATGTCACCATCATATATGCAAACCATGAAATAAAAAGGAACAGAGACTCAGAGAGATAAAAAAGTAGGTCCTTCACATCCAATCCATATTAATTATCTCCTATTAAAATTGAGTATAACTGGCATATTGTAATCTCACTATACAAAGAGTAAATTATATATTACCACAGGCGTGTCATGGTCCCTGAAGATTGACTCTTCAGGATTTAAAACAGTGCAGACAGACTGTAAAAAGGAGGAAGCAGGATGTCTGTGGAAAGAAAGAAAAATCTCTGCTAGATGGGAAATTGCTGAATAACCACAGGAAAATAATTTTTTCAGTCAGTGAAACAGAGAATAATTTTGATTGTTACAGAGCTATCTCTCTCCCTAACAGCTTTGGGGATGATGAATTACCGAACCTGAAATATATCACAAGCGATTCAGAAAACAAATTAAAAAGTAGCTTTTGATGGGGCATCCAGGGTGTTAGTTATTGTCTACATTATCAGTGCAACAACATATCATGAAAACGTTGCTTGATACCATGAAACATGAGACTGTGGCATTGTTTCCCAGAAGAACTCTGAGCATGAGGAGGATTTCAGAGTAGCCTGAACAAAGCAATCATATGTTCTCAGTTGAGTAATTGTCCCAGTTCATCGTTGTAGTCACTTGTTTGTCAGAATTCATGATCAGAGTTCAGTTATACAAGTTACCATAATCAGTTTTACAGCAGTCCTGGAGATCCAAGGCAATGTGATAGATTACATAAGTATATTTTATCTCTGATTTACCTCATAAGGTGTTTTATTTAATTGGCAGTCAAATAATTTAAAATTCCTGTCTCTTACACTATAATTTTATCTGTTAGGTTGTCCTTCACATGGTGCTGACCAGCCTAGGCAATTCTGTATACTGAGGTTCCCTTTTCAGTTACCCTTATCCATGTTTCATCTATGAGATTTGACCAGAAAAAAGGAGGCAACAAATGTAAACCTCTTGTAAAGCATTGGATTCCTTTGGCAATCTCTGGCATTTCTCTTCTGAGAAATACAAAGCAATTTGGCCAAAATAGATGTGTTACAGGTCAGCTATATAGTAATCACTAGCTTTGTCCATGCTTTTATTGCACGCAGGCTGCATGCAGGGAAATGGAGGCACTGAAAGGTAAAGTAACCTGGCTAACACCTGTCTAGAAATGAGCATGAGGACACGGGCAGAAGAGGCTGTGCCATTGAAACTGGGTGTAGATATCAGGACATTTTAACTCCAGTCCCATCTTAGTTCCTACTATGTGAACTTGAAGAGATCACCTGAACTCTTTTTTACTGTACGTGGACTGGGAATACCTACAGCCCCCTTTGTAAAGCATTTGTAACCTCTGATTACAAAAAATGTTGTGTGTCAAAACACACTTATTAACAGAATTACTCTTCGTTAGCCAGAGCAGCTCTTCAAAGACCCCCATAAGACTTACCATTAGTTTATTGCCAACCATTCTACTGGACTGGTTTAATTTTACAATCTTCTTTTTTTGTCTGTTTTTCTTTCTCTCTCTATCTCTCTCTTTCTCATTGGTAATGGACAGGTGAGAAACCACACCAATGCAGCATCTGTTGGCGCTCCTTCTCTTTAAAGGATTACCTAATCAAACACATGGTGACGCACACCGGCGTGAGGGCGTACCAGTGTAGTATCTGCAACAAGCGCTTCACCCAGAAGAGCTCCCTTAATGTGCACATGCGTCTCCACCGTGGGGAGAAGTCCTACGAGTGCTACATCTGCAAGAAGAAGTTCTCCCACAAGACCCTGCTGGAGAGGCATGTGGCTCTGCACAGTGCCACCAACGGCACGCCTGGAGCCACCGGCACCGGCACGAGGGCTGTCCCCGCCGGGGTGGTGGCCTGCACGGAGGGGACCACGTACGTCTGCTCTGTCTGTCCAGCTAAGTTTGACCAAATCGAGCATTTCAACGACCACATGAGGATGCATGTGTCAGACGGATAAGTAGAATCTCTCTCTCTCTCTTTGTTATGAACAACAAAAATAGAAACAACAAAAAAAAAAAGAAAGCTATGGCACTAGAATTTAAGAAATTATTTTTGTTTCATTTTTACCTTTATTTTCCTCCTTTTTTTGGGTTCATTTTGTTTTGTTGTTTTTGTACTACATGAAGAACTGTTTTTTGCCTGCTGGTACATTACATTTCCGGAGGCTGGGTGAATAATAATTTTCCCAGCCTCCCTCGGATGGTGGCCTTAAGGCCAGGTAGTGCTTCATGAGCTCCACTGGTTGGATCTCTAGCTACTGGCCTCTAAATACAACCCTTCTTTACTACAAAAAGCAAAAAACAAAAAAAAAAAAACCACAAAAAAAAATTTAAAAAAAACAGACAGAAAAATAATAAAAAAAAAAATCTTTTTTTCTCACTTGTGAAGAGCACTACAAAAAAAACAAACAAAACAAAATATACTACAAATCTACAAGGCCTACTGTCATTATAAGTACACCGCTTGCAGTGTTTCAATGGACATGATTCACATTGCTGACCGCTTTTGGACTTCACAGTATCCAGTTAGAACTGTGGAATATTTTGCTTCTGGTTGAGCAGCAACCAGAGGAAACAAGGCCCTGCTGGTTTCCACCACGAGTCTGCTTTTTCACACACACGCATCCACAAACACACAAAAGGGCTGAGGGGAATGCGAGGCAGTGTGGCTTGGATAGTGTGGAGTCCCTGCAGGGTGAGGAAAAAGAATCAGAGGTTCCTCACCTGGATTCTGCTCCATCCCACGCTCCCTGGTGCACCCTCCCCGCTGCTTTTCTCGTACCACCACCACCACCTTATAGCAGAAACCAAGAAGATTCAGACAAAGAGCAACGGTGGCTTTTTGTAATTTATTCAGTGTCTTCGCTGAGCACAGGGCCTCAGCACAATCAAGAGGGACTTTCACAGAAGGCAAAGAGAAACACAGAGGAAAATCAAAGATATCAGAGGTTGCAACCTATGGATCTAGGTACAAGAGAAGGGTTAGTTCCCACAATCTTTGCAAAAAAAAAAAAAAAGTTGCATCAGGATTTATTCTTGTGGAAGAAAGAGGAATAGAGGGTGGGTGGGGAGGGGAATAATAATTTAAAAAAAAGAGTTCTTGGGACTTTTTTAATTCAAAATTTTATAGAGGGGCAAAAGTGACGTTTACCAGATAGAATGCTGATTTTTTTAATATATTTACAACAGTATTTGTGTAAAAAAAAAAACAAAAAAAGTGAGATTGTTAAAAGTAATTTTTCTTTGTTTTCTTTTTTGTTTTGCATACACTGCCACTAATATCTTCTCTTTTATTATATATATGAATATATATAAAAATATATATTTTATTTTAAATTGAGACTGTTAAGGTTAGCTAACCTGCTTCCAGATAGAGGGGGGGAGGGGAGATGATCTTGATTTTTATTTTAAAAAAGAGGAAGGATGTTTCTTAATTTTCTTTTCTAGTATTATTCTCTCTCTTTTCTAATGGAATCAAGAATTACCTGGGTCGATGAGGGGCTCTGTGAAGTCATCTGTGAGATTATCTACTAGTGTTTGTGCATCCTGCAGTATCATTTGAACTGCTACTTTGTTTTTTGAATTACATGGTTCTCTTTTTGGCTCTTACCAAGCTTCTATTGTTTCTTTTTTGGTTCCATCTCAGAATTTATTTCTGCTGAAGGATGGTTTCTTTTGAGAAAGAGATTTTTCTAGCAATGTTTCCTTGGTTTTGGGAATGATAGAATCTGTAGTCTTTCTTCTTATTTGAAAAAGTAATGAAAGTTTTGGAAGTGTGTAATAACTAGGATTTCCCTTCTTTTTGGTCACTGGACAAGAATTAATCTGCTGTATTGTTCTCTCATCCCTGCCTTGCTCGCTAGAGAGCTTCCATATTTGTGTGGGAATCTGATCCTGCCCCTGGTAATTTGTGCTGATGCCAAAATAACTTAAAATGTTACCATTGCAAATAATCTTCCCTTCATTTGCAAAAGTGTCTAATGGAAGGGCCACATCCCGCATTCTCTGCATATACCAAGCTATGCAAGGAATGTAGGATCAGTGTGAAAGATTGATTCCTGATCTGCATATATATGTCGGTGTTCTGTATTTTGTTTTACTGTGTTTGAACTGGTGTTCTCCCTAGTTGTCTTCTGTGTATCTGTGTAAGAATTTTTCCCCCAAAGCCAACTCCCAAAGTACGTGGGTCCTTAGTTCAGTTGGATCAGTGTCTGACACTGTCTTGCTTGAAATCTATAGTGAGGACTTGCACCAGCTGCACTCTGGACTTCATATTTTAGGCAGAGAAAAAGCACCTAACAAAAATATGCAAAAAGAAAAAAAAAGAAAAATTGCTAGTTTAGCTTTTACTTGTGTTTATATTTAAATTAAGCTTTCTTAAGTTTACAGAACTTTGCTTGTGAACACTGAGCATTTCACATGAGACATTTTTTTATGCTGGACAACCTTCTAACTGTTGACTTGATAGATCTCCATATACAACTTTGTGTGTTCTTTACGCCTGCGGCTTCTCTATCAGATGTCTGTCATTCAGTACAGGTAACTTCATTTATATGTTCTATGCCTGTTCCATTACAATTTATTTGGGAAAAAAAACCTAACAGGTGGTTCAGTCTCAGAATCTTTCTATGCCCTGCAAGGTATCAGCAGATCCTAAACGCTGAAGCCCTGATTCTCATCTGCAGTATGCAGCATAAGAGAGGCTTTGAGGTGAGTGCCAGAGCAAATGAGTCTCTTTTATGGTAACGTCTTTCTATGTTACCAATTTGTTTGAGTAGCTCAAGGGGCTGGAGAAGGAGCACAAGTTAGTTAACAAATATTGTTGTTTTAACCATACTGGAAAAAGCAGTGCCAGCATGTAAACCGAGAAGTGAAAAGACAAAGCCCAGGACACAGAGAGGGAGAACTAATGTCTGCCATGCAAAGGCACACTAAATCTGTGTGCAGAAAACAAAGGTTCTGGAGACAAGGGTGTGGAAGAAAATGGGGAAAGTGAACCTAGACAAAAGGATTAGAGACTTTTCTCTGGGGAAAGGTTGTTTTCTTCTGAGATCTTATTATAGAAGAGTGTTATCCCATATGAGGAACGAGTGAAAAATTTTACCCAACTTAAAAATATGTAGCTGCTCATTTGTCATCTGAGGTAGGGGAAAAGCTGTTTAATTTGCTGTTGTGACTCTGGTGAACTATAGTCAAGATGTAGCATATTCTGGAATATGGTTCTGATACCAGAAGAGATATACCAGTAAACAGGAAACAAGAATCAGGGTTTACATCCACCAAAATCCAAGTACTATCATGTTTAGAGAGAAAAATCCTATCCAAATTTCAATCCTTCAGCTTTCATCCTTCCCTAAATCAAAGAAGCATCATCTTTTAAATCCAAACTTTTTATGAGGTCTAATAAATTTGAATTAAAGATCAGTAGTGAATGAATGGAGGGTGCCAATTGAATAAAATAAATAAACAAAGTTCTTCAAGTAAAGCTAGGGCTTACTAGATTGAATTCTAAAACACTTGTCAAAGAATTTAGGCCAAGGTCTTCATAAATGAGTGCCTGAAATATTAACTGATTTTGTTGAACTTCGAGACTTGATTTTGTAAAACATGAAGCAATGTGCAGCATGACTGCTAAATGTAGCTGAAAGTGCTTGCCAGGTCACTGTGAATTTAGGAGCTCAAACATAACCCCCTTTGTCTTTTACAACGTTAAATTCTTTTTAGTAATGTTTCCTCCCATCCTTGAAATACTTATATGCTACTTGGAAACAACTATAATATCCAAATGTTGCAGGTATATTCAGCCTTCATGTATTGCTACAATATTCCTTAGCAGAAAGAATGGCAGTCACAGTGATCTGGAAACCACTGCTGACAGTGGTTTAGCGAATCTCATCTCAGTATGCTTAAAAGGCTTCCTGCCAAACACCTGATAAAATGATACAGATGAGAAAACAGAGACGGTAGCACACATCCTTCTGATGAAGCATGCAATATCCTGCATTCCTTGAGCTTGATTCTCACTTTTCCTTAAGCTCTCTTTATATTGCTTTGGTAATGGAAAAGGGCATTAAATAGAACATAAATTCAAACTTACAAATCCAGGCCTCTCTGCAAGGCAAAAGTGCAATACAGGAAGCCTTAGAGTAAATGAGAAGTAAGTGCCTTCTCTTACTGCTGCTGAGGCTGGTGAAGTGAATTGGAAATGTAGGATTGGCCAGAGCAGATCTGCCCTGTGGTCCATCTCACCCAGTACTCTGTCTCTGACATGTGGCCACTTAGAGATGATTTGAATGAAGATGAAAGACCCATGTTGGATAATTACAAAGCAATAAGCCTAAGGGAGAAGATTTATTATAATCCTCATTAACTATTTGTACATATAAAAACATATAAATTTAAATAAAATATTTACTTGCCTATAACTTAAAGACATAATTTATGGCTTTAAGTTTTTATCCCATATAAAAATTATATATTGTGGCAGGTAATTCTCATTGTCCTTTAAAGATCTATTTTATTAATTCCTAGCTGGGCCCCATGCTGTCCTGTGGAAGTGAGTTCCTCAGGTAAATTACCCCCTCGTTGAAATGATTCCTTTTCAAGTTAATTCTGTTGCTGTTCCTTGAAATACCCTTGTTCTTGTATTATGTGAAATCATAAATCAGAGAACCAAAATTTAACTTCTCTTGCCCATTCCACTGAGGTCTGCCTGGGAAATATGAATCCACAAGGAATGCAGGACCACAACCTCAAGTGTCTGCTTATCAGCAAGGAGAGAACAGCTACTGAGTGTGTCTGTGTGCATGTCTGGGGTGTGTGCATTAGTGAGGTTTTCCTACAGTGATCTCTTACAGAGGACTAGCAGGCACAACTCATGAATAATGGAAACATACCAGTACAGTACATAAATTGTACTATAAATTGTAATATTGTATTTCAATCTGGTCCCTCGTCTCAGAAAACACATATTAATAGTCTCTTATAAGAGAAATAGTTACAGATGTTTTGCAGGAGCTACTCTGGGGACACTTTCTCAACATATGTCTTGCTTTCACTAGACCTGCTTCTCGCCCACGCTGTTAGTTAGCTTCAGAAACAGCTCAAGTTCACAGTAAGCTGACAGGGAAGAGTAGCATTTAATTGACTTTTTGTGAGTGAGGTTTCCTTTTGCTCTAAGATCAAAGAGGCCAAGTGGAACCCATTTTTCCTCTTTTGATTTCTTTCATCCAAAGGAGAGTTGAGTAATAACCCACATACCATCAGCCCCTTCACTTCTTATCAACCCCAAACTGATTGACTTCCTTCAACCTGGAGCTACTCTTTTAACGCTGGATCACCCACATGGTGGAGGAACAGATCTCTTCCCTTTAGTGAGTAATATGCTAGCATTTGCTGTGTCTCTTAATAATGAAAACAAATCCCAAAAGGAGAAGGTCCAAAATATACTCTTCACAGGAGTGTTGAGTCCAGTCCAAAATCAGAAGCACCCAAATCATTTCAAACATGACCAGACCTTCGGTGTACCTAAATCTGCTTCCCTTCTGACAATTATGCTAAGAAAATCCTCTAACTCTCACTGATGAAAATGGCTTGGCACTCAAAAGGAAAAAAAGCATCAGCCTGAAAAAGGGAAGGCTCTGGGGAGACTTTATGACAGCCTTCCAGTACCTAAAGAGGGCTGACAAGAAGGCTGGAGGAGGACTTTTCACAAGGGCATGTAGTGATAGGATGGGGGCAAAATGGCCTTAAGCTGAAGGAGGGTAGGTTTAGATTAGATACTGGAAAGAAATTCTTTACAAGAAGAGTAAAGACAGTGGAACAGGTTGCCCAGAAAGGTTGTGGACTCCCCATCCCTGTAGGTGTTCAAGACCAGGCTGAGTGAGGCTCTGAGTAACCTGGTCTAGTGGAAGGTTCCCTACTAGTTGCAGGGGGTGTTGGAACTAGATGATTCTTTAAAGTTCCCTCCAACCCAAACCCTTCTATGTTAGTATCACATTAGCACCTGGTGGCTGTTCTGCCAAGAAAGACTAGTCCTTGGTAATCAACCCTT